TTTCTCCCATTCACCGTCAATGAATCGATCGAATTGCAACACGGAATTTATTTCACGTCTCTTCCGGAGCGAAAAATAAGTCAGCGCATCCGTCAGAGGCACTTTTCCAAGGCCTGGAAAGCGTCTAGGCTAAATCATGGTCAATTTAAATGCTGGAAATATTCAATCTAAACTAAGTGGTTTTGTAGGAAGTACTGTGACAAAGCAAGGATGCCAATAACGAAAGAAAACAATGCGTCGTGTTGTTTTTTATGGTAATTTTACCATGAAAAATGTTTCAATTCGGACTGGTAACAGGCGAAACACGCACACTGAAGGTCGGTTCTCGTTTTGATAAACAATAAGGAAAATGTTGGGTTGAAAGAATCAAACAAAATTGTCTTGGATGCTGAAAATTTTTCAAGGTTTATAAAAATCTTGGCAACTTGTTTGAAAACATCTACCTAGAACGTGTTGACGCACTTATACACTAAATATTGACCACAAGCCCCTTTATTTATTTTTCCTTCGAAATTACAAACCACTAAGTGTAAAGTGCATGTTTACTATCGTTTCTCAAATGTGTCAGCAAAACGCATAATTTATGTAATAATTTAACATTGTTCCATTTTAATCCGTAGCAAGACAAATTTTAGCGAATATCATTAATATAAATTGTGATTTTTACTTTTGATGAATATAATTGATGTCAATTGCAAATACTTTCATAGTGATTGAAGGCTTTGTGGTTTCACAACAAAACTTAGCTTCAGGAAACGCGTTTTCGGACAAATTCACAGAAAACAACATTACCTACTGATTATAAACATAATTTCAGCTTCACCGAACTAACGATTTTAGAAATAAATAAATCCTTGCTCGATAATATCAAATTTATTAACTTCCTCGTTTCGCTTTTTACGCATTGTATCTTTCAGACTTCCTTGAAAAAAGTCACAAAAATCTAGCCTTTTACAACTTTCTTTCAAAGCTTCAACATTAATGAAAAACTCAAGATTAATTTTTAGCTATTGTCATCGCGAACCATTTTTCTGTTTAGGTATTCTTTCCATTTTATGAAATATTTGAAGGATACAGTTAATTACTGCGTGCACATGATGTAATCCCAGTCTTTATATTTACTAGTGAAAAACTTTCCAACAACTTTAGAAAGAATGTACAGAAAACTAAAATCATCATCAATCAGAACTGATTTGCCTAGATTTGATTTAATGACTAGTTGAACCAATAATTCTTTAAACAGCTGTTATAAATACCAATTACCCAAAGTAATTTGGTTCGAGAGATAAACTGTCCTAGAAGTGTTGGTGAATTTTAGCAAACAAGCACTATTTTTTGCATATTTTTCTGAACCTCTTCTATGCACCAATGTATTTTTACTACTTGTTTCTCCGGTGTAAAACTGGATTTGTATTTATTTTGGTTTTCGGAATAATATTCTATTTTTTCCTTCCGGCTCATTATCCTTTATAACCTCACCGTTAACAAAACGTTGCCCTTGAAATCGGTTCAATACTAATTTGTGCTCTAAGCCATTCTCATTTTACCGAATAGACAAGATAACTAGAATGTTTTCCATGAGTATTAATCCCACCTATAAATTCTCGTGTACAAAATCAAGGCCAGTCTGTATTTACTTTTTGTGCACAACTTGACCAAATAAGTCATTAGCAGCCATGTTATAACTATTTTGAACAAATTTCTCCAACCACTCGTATCATGTTATTCTAATAAATAACAAAATGTTAAATTCACACTAGTGTTATTTATATATCCCAGTGGCGTAACAAAATCAATACGGGGTATAGAGTCGGACGTCTAGTTTAAACTGCGTTGTATAAAACAATTCCCTTGTAAAAAAAACCTTCGAAACTATCAGTGAGTCAGTTAATTAATTTTTACACAGTTCGCGTTCATACGCTTTTTAATATTTGCAGTCCGCAATGTTTTATTTATTTTATTTTAGATAACTTGAGTCATGGCAAAGTCAGCGATATGTGGCTAAAAATGTACCACCGCCCCACTTAATCACCATTTAATTAAACATAGACATATGGCGCCACTCCGTTGGCCCCCATATGCAGATAGGTTTTTGACCACCCCTCACCACGTGTCAACGGCTGTAAATTATTAATTTAGAAACAGATCGAGTGACAAAAAACCCAAAAGCATCTGGAACGTGTACTCGATTTAGAAAGTGTCATTTGCAGAATCATAAAATGTGCTTTTTTTCCGGTGATTTGCAAGACGGTTTCTTGGAAAATTCTGAATTAGAGTGTAATTACTGCAGTCTAACCATATTATTCATTTCCGAGCCCGAGATACCGTCAAATCAATATTAAGTTATTTTATTTATGTCGTATAGTCCACGCTCGTTGACTAAACAATACCTAATCCTCTCTGGCTTAATGTAATTTAATGTAACCAGCGATCAGCCTTTAAATTCAATTTTAGGACAAAAAACGATGCCCCTCTTTTTCCATTAGAGGAAGCTTGATTGAAATGTGTACAAAAACGTATTCTTATAGCAGTGGTCACTTATCGATCACCCTTTTTGTTTTTTCTTTAGGTTGGATAGCATGTGAACATCCTCAACCTTGCCGCCAACCTAATCTGTCACACCTCATCACTTCTTGTTGACCTCGATCGTTTTCAGCTACCGTTTTTGTCCTGTTCGAGTATATTGACAAAGGAAACACTTTGATGATCGTTTCTCTAATGGTAATGCTTTTGAAACAAGGATGAATCGTTTGATGAAAGAAAATCGAGAAAAAGCGTCAGATATTTAAAACACCATTTATTAAAATTTTATTTTTTCCGGACTTGAAAAAACCAGTTATTTTTTGATGTAGAATAGCCTCATTTATCACTGACAAGAACATGGCCTTAACCTTTATGTTTTACAATGGAATGAGAATTATTCCACATTCAAGCCAAACAAAATTTAATCAAAAAACTTATCGCTTGCATGATACTGGATGATTCAGAAGTGTCGACGCGTAAAAACTGACAGTTGTGCAAACGATTTTATTTATTATTATTTTATCGGGTTGTGCGACATGATTCACCCCGTAGAAAACTTTTGCTGAACTGTAAACAACAGGAAGCTGAAATGTGTCTTGTTGCATTTATTGAACTTTTACAAAATCCGAGGATTCCAGGTAGCTGAAATACAAATAACAAGAGAAACAGGTAGCGAAAAGGTTGCGGAGGTGCACGACCTTTATCAGTTTCTAGTTTAATCAAAGACAATAAATTATTTTTGCGACTTTTAAACCCTCGACTGAAACGTTTATCTTCTGTTTTACTCTGGTAAAACGCGAACTTTCTAAACGCATTGCACTTTCATTAATTTGTCAATAGTACGAATCATGCATTTTGATGGCAGATCACACTTGTATGGAATTGGAGAAAATTCTCGGCGCCACAATTCTAATAAGTACTACTAGTCCTATTTTTTATTGTGTTTTGTTATGACAGATGTGACTCTGACCTATGCAAATCCGTTTATTTCGGTCCGAGTCGTGTTATTTATATTTTACAAGCGTCCTTAAAGGGCAATAAAGACATTTGTATTTCGGCGTAAATCCGGATTTTCCGAAACATACCAACGGCCAGGGTTATAAAATGCAAAACCACGTGATGGTAAGTATAAAATTGTCAAGCGATTGTGACGAAAATAGCCGCTACAAGTAAACAGGCCGCTTCAACTAACTCTATTTGCATTTAGTTACGGTAAATATTTGTTTACTGTAATATCCCTTCTGTAATTATTATTACGACGAAAGCAAAGATACGGAGTTTTACCCTAAATCTTCGCATCTTCATCCGTCATAACTTTTTGATGGGTTTTCTCAATCGACATTAGCGAGAATGTTATTTTTGAACACTAGTGTAGATAAAAATGGCAGTATTATCTCTGTTTACATACAACTGTTAAAATATAATGCACTTATTTATCAGAGTTTCAGAATTTACTAATCTGCCTCATTTCACGGAAAGGTTCATTTTGTTTTGCATTTTGAAGATAAAATGCAAAAAAATCTTTTAATTTAGATGTATTTTTCCTACTTTTAACAATTTATTTTTTCCTTAAGTTTTCAGGGAAAAATACTCGTCACAAACTTTTTCTTTAATACTTTAAAACTGAAATGCAAATAGGTATACTGCAGAAATGTATAAAAAAAAACTTTTTAAGCCCCTGAACATTATTTTAAGAATAAAGAGTTGAGATTTTTTTACAATATCCCAATAATCACATTTGCTTATATAGACTCAAATTATCTAATACCTTGCTTTCAATAATGAAATTAAATATAGCTTTGGAAGTGAGATATATCAAAATTTTTCTGCCTTCCTATTTAGTCAGTCTTGCAAACGTTATTTGAAAAATCATAAGCTATTTTAATCAGAAATTTATCACTACTTTTATATATATTTGATATGAATGAGAAATAAAAATAATCATAACTAAAACCATTTCATTAAAAATATTTTTTTATTTAAACAAATAAAACAAAAACGCCGTGTTTTATTTTTTTCTATTTCCATTAGCTTCCTTACTGAAAACAGTTTAAACTTCCCTAAACTTTAGGTAAATTTGAGTGACATAAAAAATGAGGAAATCGTTCTTTAATGATGTTAGTGTGTCAGGTTTGTTATTATAACAAAACTTTGAGATTTTGTAACTGGCAGATGCTTAATTTTTGTCTTAGTCGTTTACCAAATGGTTCACAGTCTTACAAGAACCACTCCACGCATACACAAGATCAACAACCCGCTGTAGAGCGAAATGACCGCACGAGTGCTCCTGCCGCCTCAGGTGCCAGTCTCAAGACCAAAAACCGTCCTCTCATTCACAAATGCGGCGTATCACATACGAAAATTTCTAATTAATTCCGACTCGCGTCTTGAAAAAACTTGTAAACACGCGTAGGCTATAAATATCGCCGTCGCAGGAAAGCTCATCTATTTTTACCCGGGGATTGATTTAGACTTACGCCCGGAATCGCTGGACAACTTCATCTTGTCCAAAGTGGAGGAGTCCCTGTCGTTGTAGACCAACACTCCTGCAGCGTTGCTCCTGAAGGCGTTCTCGACCTTCACTTCAAAGTTGCAGCGTCCTCTCTTGATCAAGGCGATCCAGGGCTCGCCTGGAGGAGGCAACTTCCGATCGGATCTGGTGCTGTACAGGGGCAACTGACACCCAGTGTGGTCGTCGGGGTTGGTCTTCGAGGCCACGTGGATGAGCACTCCGAAGGCCGGCCCCACGTAGCCACCCCCATAGCGGCCCACCTCTGTCTTGTCCGAATGCCAACCATTGTCAGAAAATGTTGACACGTTCAAGTAAGCCGATGTGAAAGTATCAGCCCTACTGTCGTCCGTTGTGAAATGCGAAAACGGGGATCCGGATACCCAGTCCTCGGGCACGGCTGAAGAAGACACCAAATGGCTAATGGAGAACAAAAAGAACAGTTTCGGGAGTTGGAACACGGTGCTTGCACCACTAACACACTTTGAAAACATCGTCGTGGATTAATTTGGAAAATTCATTTTACTATTGCTGAAGTGTCGCATTGGCACTTTCCACACTGAAAAGTGACGTTCTTTGTTCAAACAGCACTTTTCCTGTGAAGTCGACGAACTCGCGCACGGCTGGGGCTCCACAACCGTCTCGCTCGACTGTTCCACACAACTGAATGAGAAAGATTGAGTTTTCAGTTATCGGTAGGTCGACTGCTTCGGCGCAGGTGGGTTTTCCTTGGAGTTGGGAGTTGTGCACTCTATGGCGATGTTGCCAACTCGATGAGGAGTTGCACCCACTTTAAAATGAGCCCCACGCTTTGTTATGTCCAAACATTCAAAAACAGAAATCAGACGAAACTTTTTATCTCAGAAAAATGTTGTGATGTTTTGAATTCTTCATAATGATAGAATGCTTTTAGATTATTAAAATTTAAAATCATTTCCATTCACCTACATTTTTCATTTTGTAAAACATAATTATGATCAATTATTCACCCTCTGGGAAAAACGGTGGCTCATGCGAGTTTAAAGTTATTCTTGGAAAACGTATATTTTACTCATGTTTTCTTGGTCTGTTTTTGGCTGATGAAACAGTTTGTTAAAATTAAAAACGTAACACATTTTAATTTTCTTTAATGCAAAAAAATGTGTCAAAAGCTAATGCAGTGCAATAAAGTATGTATATAAATTTAATTTTATGGCCTATCAATTTCACACAAAAAAAGTTAGTCAACATCGGCTACTTTGAAGTAAAGCAATTGCCTGAATGTTTTCCACTATGTTTTGCTAAATATCATGTTGTTATACAACCTCTTCAAGTTTTATTGCTTGCTGAAAGAATCCTAAGGTTTTTGTTGACTCGATAGTAATTCCCGTCTTATGTTTTCTTATAATTATGGAGCAGTTGTGGAGAATGAAAATAAAACCACAATAAAAGAATTGTGATTCAATAAACTCATGAAAGCAGCGCAAAAAGAGACGAGGTGTTTCATATTTTAGTACCTGGGCTACTGTTACTACTTTTTGTAAAAGTCGTATATTTTGCATCTCTAAGAGTTCCAATTAAAATACAAATCTTTTAAAGCGATTACGCTCGCACAAGGCTGCCTTACAAAACAAAATAATCCTCATACGTGCGCAAAATAATACACTTTTGACACAAATACGTAACAAAAAATATATTTACAAACAATTCCGTATTATAAAATGTAAACAGAGTATAATCCACGTTAAAACTATGTACAAAATAAAACTTACAAGCTAATAAAGAGTTTTTACTAACCGTAAAAAAGTTTAACGTATTACGACAAATGGCCCTTGCTAAGAAATAAAAAAATAAGACGTTTACATAAACGTCTTTGAATTGACGGAATACGCCTTTTGCCCTTGAAAGACGTACACACGACAATTAAATGTCGTTGTCGTTATGGTTAACGTTAAACTAAAGTGTTTGCTAAAACTCTCTATTGTTTTTTCTCTTACAAATATTTTAAGCGTTTATTTTAAGTTCGTTTCTTAAGATTTTGCCACTGGGATTTCTAGGAATCGAGTCGACGAATTTAACACCGCCGGCGATTTTTTTGTAATGGGCCACTTTAGGGTTTATGTAAAGCAGGATGTCGTCTTCACTGAGACTGCTCCCTGGCTGTCGAACGACGAAAGCTCGGGGCACTTCACCGGCCAAAGCGTCAGGAATACCGACAACAGCGCAATCCGCCACTCCGGGCATTTCCAGGAGGAGGTTTTCAAGCTCGGTGGGTGACACCTGTTTGCAAGGAAATTTTTTATTAAGGATTATTTTAACGTAAATGTTTAACGTATTAAATTATTATTAAATTAAATAATAAAAACTTAAACGTCACTTTTATGGCTTTATTACGTAGTAAAATAATTAATAAAATAATTTTTTTTAAACTTAAAGTGTTTTGTTATTTAGAGAAAGTTTTGTTGATTGTTAATTTAAAAAAAATAAATCCTTATGGATAGGCAACCAGTTCTACCCAAAATTTTGTATTTTGCTGTCGAAATTATTTTTAGCTGAATCTCGGTCCGGTGTCAGTCACCCGAATTTTGCACACGTGTTAGACTTTGACGCAGTTTGCTGATTATAATTTTTCATGACTGTATTTTATAATCAAATAAAATGGTCTGGGTTTTTAAATTGATAAATAATCGCGTCCTTAAAATACGCACTGAGATTGCGCACTGTGTTGATCGCGTCCTATTTTAAGCGCATAGATATTGAACCGGCGCTAACTTCGTTATTGTCATTGGTGCGCTTGTTGACGCAAGTAGATGGTGATCGGTGGTGCTAAAATTTCGCAAAAAAACAATAACAATAATGGAAAATCCCGAAGAAATACTCCACAGTTTAGAAGAATTCTCTAAAACCAAGCCCAAGGACATACCACGTGAACTGGAAGAATACCTTTGTTTTGTTGCGAAAACAGGAGACCCTGTGTACCAATGGTCATCAATAAAGAGCCTCTTTCGTGAGAAAATGATTAATGTTATAACTGAATTCTACGAGACGTGTCCTTCGGTCGAGATACCCCCTTGTCCAAACGTGGACATTTTTAATTACGACGTTATGAAGAATTTTATTTTAGAGAAGTTGGACACTTTTGCAGCGGCCCCCTTTACGTTACAGAGGATTTGCGAATTGTTGACGACTCCGAGGAAAGAGTATAATAGGATAGATAAGTATATGAGGGCGCTGGAGAAGAATATTCTAGTTGTAAGCACCACTGAACCTGGGGGCCGGAGAAGTACAGAAAACGGCGAGGGGATTATGAACGGGTTAGAATCGGAACATTTGCCTGAAACTAGCAATAGCAGTAATGACATCAACGTGGAAGAAATGGATGATGCGCCAGCTTGGCCTAGATTGTTACAAAATGAAAATGTTTCATATCAGAATGAGAATAGCAACAGTAATGACATTCAGAGTCCACAAATTGTACAAGAGACGGTGGTCACTGCATCAAAATTACCGGATGTGGCCTGTAGCTCCTCTCAAGACACTGTAATAACATGTAGAAGCTCAGAGGAGCCCTACGTTTCTATAGAACCTGTGCCATCAAACACTTGCACAAGATCAGATAATCCAGATGAGACTGATGTCTCGGTTACCATCACTGCCATACCTGCAGGGGTTCAAAAGAGACGAAACAGTGTCGAACCGGTCGTTTCGTCAGAAACTGAAGAGATTACCGAGTCTTGTGTAAGTATAATTAACCCACGTTTGGTTTTTATAAACAAAACGAGGTTTTGTAGGACCAATCTGACAAAACCAGCGAACCTCCCAAAGAATCTGAGATTAAACAAGAGGAAACATCTTCGTCGCAGCAAATTGAAGACGCAGACTCATCTTCAAGCGCTGAAGACGATAAAGAATCAATTGAAAGTAAGGACGAGAAAATTCTTGACGATGCAACCCCACACGAGTTATCGTCGACTGAAACCGATCAAACCACAAACGAGGATGAAGTTGGAACATCGCAAGAAAAACTTGACGAGAAACCGGACGGAAGCGAAGAAATAACTGTCGATACCACGAAGTGTTCAAATACCTCCCCAACACCACATGAAGAAACTAAAGAAGACCTCGAAATTACGTCTTCTGATAAAATCGATGAGGTGCACTCATCGCAAAGCGAGGCTGAGGCGAAAATTGAAGTGATTGAGAAACATGAAGAATCTCAAAATGTTGCTTCTGAAGGAGCGAAAGAGGTGAGTGAAGAGGCGGCGACTCTGATGGATGTGGATGAATTTAGCGAAAAAGTGGAAGAAGTTGTCAGAGCTGAAGCTACATCAGACTCACCTTTATAATTTAGATTTTTTCCTTATTTAACGATCAAGGCTAAGAAACGCGCCTTCTTAATTATTAAGTATTTATACATTGTGTAATTATGCAAGCGAAGTTTTTTTATTTGTGACTAGAATCTGGTAGGGTCCGTGTTGGACATTCTGATTCGTCAACAAAATTAATTTTTTTAAATTTGTATGTAGAGCATAGGTAAATAAATTTGTACGTAATAAAGAACTGAATAAATGGTTTATCTACTGAAAACGACTTTTTTTGAAAGTTATCCTGTCTACTTTTACAGAGAAAGTAGAGCAAAAACAAACCGGAATTGGTTGCATAGGCAACCAGCAAAACAGTGACGATAGCGGTAACTTTCCTTTCATTTATCATTTTTGATAAACGCAAACTGAATCTCGACATTTCTACAAATTTTAGGTTTCAAAAAAGCTACAATTTTGGATTCAAATACACTTTTTATGATCTTTTTCTTTAATAATTAGTAAATTTTCAAGACCCTAAAATTTAGTACCTAGTAAGTAAATTCTACGTAATTTCTGGTCAGTGAAATCAATGATTTTGAAACTAAATTGGCAACCTGCAACATTCAATAATGTGAAAGAAAAAGTATAGGTATGTAAAAATCGTCAACACATCTTATCATTTGATAAATTTGCCATTAGTTGAAAAAATATTGGTCAAAATCTAATATGGCTCGGTACTACTTTTTAGCGCGCAGTGTCTAAAAACTTTTATTTCATCAATTACTTATTGGAACGACACTCTACTAACCTAGTTAACTCATTCCGTTTGTCTATTTTTCAAAAAATTTGAAAGAAACATTTTGCCAACTGTTCAGTTGTTTTTCACAAAACAAGATCAATTATTACTTACCTTTGATCAATATATGAATTTAAAAAATACTCACTTGATTGCCTTTGACTTTGATGAGTTCCTTGCATCTATCTACAATATAAAAGTAACAATCTTCATCGTAATAGGCCACATCCCCTGTGTGAAGCCACCCTTCTTCATCAACAGTTTCCGCAGTGGCTTGTTCGTTATTTAAGTACCCCATCATAACCTAAACAAATTCCTCAACAAATTTGGCAGAAATGACCTTCTAAATAATACCTGTGGCCCCCTCACTAGCAATTCGCCCGACTTATGTGTCCCCAATGGTTCGCCCGTTGACAAGCTAATAATTTTTGCTTCCGTTCCGGGATAGGGAAGTCCAATCGTCCCAATTTTCGACGGTGGTGTCAATTTAGGCATACAGAAAGTAACCGGTGAACTCTCCGTCATGCCGTAACCTTGTCTTATCAAAATATCATCTCTTCCAACTTTCTGTCTGAATTTTTGTAAGAGACCTTCAGTCAAAGGAGCGGCTCCTGATTGCACGGCTTCAATTGAACTCAAATGTTCTTTGGTTACAGCAGGATGTGAGGCGAGGAATAAGAGTAGAGAAGGAACAACAAAAATGAAACTCGGTTTGTATTTGACGAGAGTTTTGAGGTAATCCTCGGGAGTGAATCGTGGAATGGTGACGATGTGAGAGCCGTGTTTGAGACACAAATTTAAAATTCCATTGAAGCCGTAAATGTGGAAGAAGGGAAGGACTGTGAGCACGGTGTGTTTTTTACCATCTAAAAATAAAAAATTATATTAATTCTTACAAAAAAATTGAAAACCTTTAGTTTCCAAGTCTTCCAAAGCTGGATGTTCTCCTTGCACCAAATTTGCCACTAAATTATGATGCGAGAGCATCACTCCCTTCGGTAATCCCGTCGTTCCACTCGAATACGGCAAAATAGCAATCTCTCTGGGATTAATCCCTGGAAGTTCCGCTTCATGTCCCGCCATCAACAAACTCTGAAGGGAGTTGACATTCTTCGCGAGATCATCTTCTCCTCCGATGCAAATCGTAGTTCGATACTCTTGCAATTGGGGGGCTATTGTTAATGCCACTTCCAGTAAAAGGGGCACAGTGACAATCATTTTAACTCCGGCATTTTCAAACTGACGTTTGATTTCATCAGGAGTGTATAAAGGATTGACGAAAGTGACCACAAGACCGGCTTCGATGGCACCATGACAAACTACAGCATATTCAGGAATGTTTGGTAAAAGCAAGCCCACGACTTCTCTCGGTTTCATTCCGCAGTGGCCCAATAGGGATTGGGCACATCTGTTGATTAACATCCGGAGCATTCCGTAGGAGTAGCTGCGCCCGGAAATGCCACAAGTCTAAAAATTTTTATTGTATTAAACGTTTTTATTTATTAACACATACAAGGAAAACGCATCTGGGGCCTTGTTATGCATAATACAATTACGAGGACGATGTTTGTAGCCATCAATCATTTCAAATAAATAAATGGTTGTCACAGTTTGATTAAAATTGCGAAGTTTACCACATGTCGATTTAATGTTTTCTCTTGTCAACTTGGTGCAGTAATTTATTTAATTATGGCGTTTCACTTATTTCCGTTCGTTACAATTAAACTCATATACTAACGTTTAGAGATAATTTTTTGACAAAGGAATGGTTAATTGCTCATTTTATCCTTTTAAAAAAATCGGTTTTTAATTTTAGCCCTTTTCATCTTTTTTATGTTTATTTTGCGTTTCGGTCATAGTTTTCTAACAACATATCTAAAGGTCATCAATAATTTTAAATAATAAATCTGTTATAAATTACATATTATGTAAATATAAATTGTACAACTAGATCACAGAAAAAATAGTGTCTCAGTTTTCTTACGTCACACTAAGATACAGAGTGTTTTTTGGTTTAATTGTGCCAAACTAGGGTAATAGTATTGAATAAGTTTTAACATTTCATTCCTTCAAATTTTGTAAAAAATAGGACATATTTTCTTAATTAATAATCAATCTGCTATGACTAATAAATCTTTGTTAAGTATTCAGTTGTTCTTGACCTTGATAGACTTGTGAGTGATGATCTTTTTTAAAAACAAATATTTCCACTCTTATTTTCTTACGCTGAAGAACCTCGCAACTCGTATCATTTAAGCAGCAAAATCAAACGCTTTTTTTAGCTCATTTTTTATTTTCTCAAGGAAGTGTCACTGTTTAAAGTTCAGTGATAAAAATTCCGAAGAAACAACGTTGTCATTCAAGTTTGTGACATCAACTTTATTATTTTGTTATGACGGTGAAAGATATACAAAGACAAGAAAGATATCAAATCTTAATTTTTTTAATTCAAGTTTCAACAATTCGTAATATGTGGTTTTTTCAAGTACCTATCAATTACTTATTTTTTCAATTTGTCCCAATAAATCTAGATAACAATTTCGTAATCTTTACACACTAGTATTAATCACAATTATTGTAAAACAATAAATTTTTGTGTAGGGTGACTGTTCCAAAAGTTCAAGATAAGTGGCAAGTTATATTTTGGCTGAATTTATACGTCACTTACCGTAGCAGGTTCCTCGATCCATTTTTCGTTATTTTTATAAATAAACTCGACGAGATTTTCATTTGGGATTTTCTTACTTGGTCCTAGAGGCGACTCGACCACTCCAGCGCTCGTAAACCGTCGCTGCTCTTGAAATTTCAAATTTTTGGCCCCGAAATTTGGGGGAATAACGGACAAAAATCCACAATTTTGGAACGTTTGCGCGAAAGAAGCACCACTTTTTAAAATTAAACGCGACATATTTATTCTGTGGGAAAAATGAGTGTGCTACCTGCAAATAAACAAAACAAACTTTCATTATTATTATTAGCTCATGAAGGTAAATTTAGATAAATCTCGCGCTGAATTCAAATTCGAAACATTCGAAAAATTTCCAGTTATTAGATTGGTTCAAGGTTCGTGACAAAAATGCAACTGAAGCAACTATTAAAAATAAAACAAACCTTGGAAAATATTGAAAATCTTGAAGGTGGGCTAATTAAGTTACTTATTGCACTGATTTTGAGTACACACTGAGACCGTGTTGTCTTTATTGCACCTATAATTGTTTTGAATGGATCCGCGAGTACATTTAATTAAAATAAAACAGATAACTTGTACGGAGTCCAATGATTCAAAGTCCAACTTCTCACTATTCGGATATTTCTGATCAAACTAGCGGCTGAACGGCGAGAAAAATAGCAAGCAACTTTCACTTATTGTAATAAGCCCTAGATTGACCCCAAAGTCGCAAAGAATAAATAAAGATTTTACATTGTATTAATGCGTTTTGTTTTCGCCGTTTTCATTATCATTTAATTGTTTGGAGCAAAGTTTCATTGACGAGAATCAGAGTAGACGATGAGAAACGCACGTGTTTCTTGCTTCTATTTATTCAACAGTGACGTAGGTATTTTACTTTTTTCACAGAATAGTGTAAACATAGAAATTTTGCAATGTTTGAACAGTCTGAAATTTAAAATCAGAATGGAAATAAATTTTTTCAACGACTTGTTGCATTTAATTTTTGCTCAAATGAATCAACAATAAATTAAGTTGGGCATGTTTATTAATGCTTTTATTAATTTGACCTTATACAAAGTAAAACTAGAAACGAAACCATGTCAAAATATAATTATTGTTACAACAATGTTTTTGAAGGGAATTAATTTGTGTTCATTTCGGACGTAATTTTATTTTTATAAAACAGCTGCAAACTTGTCATAATGCCAGTCGAAATGCCAAAACTTGGCCAACAGTTGCGCGAAAATGATGATCAAACTTTTACGTGGTTTTTGTGCATACAAAAAACAATAATGATGCGGTATACTGCCAATATTGTGGGTGCATGTTTCTGACAGTCTGCTAATAACCTTCGATGTTTGTTCTGTTATTTGAAGGTATTTTTCTATTTATACGTTGTCTACAGACCATAAATTGTAATTGATTTTTAATTTTTTACCAAACCTGACCAAAAATTTTCTTTATTGTAAATCCAATTTATAAAAAAGTATACAGACAAGAGATGAAAAAATTAGTTTACACACCCTGTAGTTATTTAACCTCAGAAAAGTCATTTTGTCCATAACAAAAATTCATGAAAAATTTTAATTTAATAAAAAGTCACTCGGGGTATTGTTGGTTGCAGGAAAACAAACCATAAACGATTCTATCTTTTGTCGCACAATCTTAAATATTGTTTTTTTTGCTTGTGTTATTTTAAAATACAAATTCAAAATTTAATTACTTAACAAAATATTACTTAAACAATGAGCTGGCAAGGATTTTGTTGAAACCAGCAACTAACACACACGCACACGATAACAACCGTGGAATTATCAAAACTGCAAGTATCGCAATAATTTTTAAAATATTCATTTATTCTGTGCGGAGCTATTAAAAGCACATTAAGTAGATATTTCTCCAAAAAGGTGACAGCAAACAATGTAAAAAAGTATATGAAATCCAAACAAAACAGTTTATAATAGTATAAATAATATGATACACGTCGTGTGATAAGGCTGATATCCAGAAAGCCAACAGCCGGGAAAATTATTAATACATTTTAGATTATTACTCGTACCGTACTGTGCAATCTTGCGTTTTTGGATTCCATTTGGGTATTTAATTGTTGTCCAGTATTGTTTTGTTTTTTTAAAATGTTTTATTATCCTCAAGTGCAGTCGATTATATTCAAGTTAAAAATTAATTAAAGCGCTGATCGATGTATTGAAAAACTTTCAGTTTTACGGTTTTATTAGTCTGTGTAACTCATTTTAACCAAGTTTTGTGTAAGTTCATGTGGCTTTTTTTAATATAAAATTTTGTTAACATTACACGTGACGTTTTTTTATCTACCAATTTATCAAATTGGTTTTCGTTTTTAAATATACCTAATAATTCTCAAATCCGTGTTAGAAACGCAAGAGGTCATAAACTCATAAACCTCATCATGAGATAATGATAATGAGTCCGCCCCTGTCTCTCCTTATCATTTTTTCTAATGTCGTTCTTGTCATGTTTGAGTCTCCTAACCTAGAAAATGTGTTGAAATAAAACCTAGTTGCTGAAATTAAAATCGCAATGACGCTTTAAATTAGCATACAAGTGTATTGTATTTTATCTTTATTTTGCTAAAACCAAGTAAATTCATAGTAAAAATGAATATTATTTGTTTACTAGTGAGCCGACATAACCTCAAAAGTTCACTGAAATGTTCAAGACACGTTAACAACCGATTTTTTACACTAAACAAACTTTCCGTTCGAAATTACAAAACAATGGCCCAGAAAGTAAGTCAGAACAAGACATACATCGCTGTAAATATCCCCGAAAATTCGAATAATGCAGTTCGAAAGTCATTTTGGTCGGTTTTTAAAAGAGACGCCAGCACAAAGAACAATAAAAAAGAGTCGAAAGAGGCTGTTTCAGCGACTCCTCGGATCAATAAGACCGATTTGGTACGTCTGCTGTCTTTGGCCAAGCCGGAAAAATGGAAACTTTTTGGTAATCTAAATCCTCAGTAAGTAACCCCAACTTATTCTGATTTTCAGGAGCGATTTGTTTTTTGCTGGTATCGAGTACAGTAACAATGAGCATCCCGTTTAGTTTAGGCAAAGTGCTTGACATCATCTATAGTAGTAGTGAGAACAGTGATGAAGCGCGAGCGAAATTAAACAAAGTATGTGGTGTTTTATTGTGCGTGTTTGTGTTAGGGGCGATTTGCAATTTCGGCCGTGTGTATCTAATGTCAGTATCAGGTAAGTCGACTTTTACGCCAACTCACTTCAGTAAGTTTAATCAGGTTATAGAATGACTCAAGCCCTAAGAAAACGTGTCTTTTCTACAATACTGAAGCAGGAGCAAGGCTGGTTTGACAAGAGATCAACAGGAGAATTAGTAAATAGACTCTCGGCCGATACACAAATTGTAGGAAATGCGCTCTCTAGCAATATTTCAGACGGGCTTAGGTCAATCGTTATGGTTTGTGCTGGTACAGGCATGATGGTATTTTGCCCAACTCGCAAACTTTCATAAATTAATTGTGAAACTTTAGTTTTATATGTCGGCAGAACTGGCACTTGTGGGGTTGGCTATCGTGCCCCCAGTTGCCATCATTGCGGTCATTTATGGAAGATATCTCAGGGGGATTTCAAGAAAGGTTCAGGATTCTTTAGCGGGGGCTACCAGTGTTGCAGAGGAGCGAATTGCTAACATTAGGACTGTTAAAACTTTCTCGCAGGAACCAAGAGAGGTCGATTCTTACGCCAATGCGATCAAAGATGTTTTAAGTTTGAGTTACAAAGAGGCCAAAGCTAGGGCCATATTTTATGGACTGGTAAGAATTAGTATTCGTCAGTTTTTAATTTATAAAACGTTGTTGGCGAGTTTAAAATACAAATCGAATTTTTTGAATTTTTCAAGGTACGGAAAAGCGTTGATCAACGCGATGCAGTAGGAGAGCTATTTTTAGCGCTTCTTGCAAGTTTGAAATAATGTTTATATTGATTTTTGGGGTTCTGGAGGAGCCTAAAATCCTCTAACGCGATGAAATTTTTATGTAAAACAGTTCAAGAAATTCGTTTACGCAAACCGTTTTGACTTAGAACATGTTATTATTGTTTTCGAGTTACGATCTCTTTTATGAAAAGTTAAAAATGGCTCTGTATCCGGGCCGTAACCGGTTTTTCGCCATTAAATAGCTAATCTAAAGCAGATTTTGATGTTTATGTATTTGCTTTTTTCTCTTAGTCCTATGGTTTCTGGGAAAAACGCGTTTAAAGTTTTACAATATTGATAATTTTTACTTTTTGAACGACGATGTTGATACTATTAGACATAGAGCAAAAAGCCCAACACCATCGTAATCAGCGTGAAAAAATCTATCGACTGACGCCAATGCGAAGTCAATATCGCACGAAAAAAAAAATTCAATTTTTAAACACTAATTACGGCGAAAGTAAAGAAGCTAAAGCAAAAAGCTTTGCAGATTCGTAATCAGCTCGTCCAAATCTATAAGATAGGATAGGTTCTAATCAATTTTTTTACTAAACCTATGTATTTGCTATTTTTGTCAGCCAGCCGTTTTCTCAATAACTATTTATCGCAGAACTATGATCTTTTTTTATAACATAGAAAATTAAAAGTGCGTTCCAACGGTACCAAAGATAAGCCCATTATAAAAAAAAAATCTATGTTATTAGCTGCAAGATGCAACAGGTTAAAGTGCTTTACGATCAATATTATATGCTTTAATAAATTTCCGATCAAAGTGACCTGTGACTTTGAAATTAAGTTGACAACACCGAATTATTGGAGATATCAGGTTGTGTCAGTTCACGACCATCTCAGCGGCCGCCCCTCGGAAATGAAGGACAATTGATACAAAAGTGTGACGTTTGAATCAACTTAATTTCGAGAAACACGCTTTTAAGGTTAAAAGAAAACCTAATTTTTGAAAACGTGTTAAATCCCTGAATAATCGTAAAAGTCGTCGTTCAAATTGCAAAAACCTTCGAAATATGGATTTCTATCTAGATGTAAAATCACGCGCCGAGCACAAAGCATTCGGTTAAAATGCTCTACGACGAGTAATTTTCAAGATACCGGCATTAGAAGGTTTTATTAGAAGTTGTTTTCTGACACTTGCGATTTTTGATTGTAGACAGGCTTTAGCGGCCACGTGATCATAATATCAGTCCTATATTATGGTGGTGTGATGGTGTCTGCGAATACCATAACAGTTGGAAACCTGTCATCTTTTCTGCTATACGCAGCTTATATTGGCGTATCGTTAGGCACATTTTCAAATTTTTACACAGAATTGAATAAATCCATTGGTGCTGCAGCTAGAATTTGGGAAATTATCGATAGGGAACCGATAATACCGATGAAAGGTACTGAAATAAGGTTATTTTATTTAATTTTGATTATTGTTTTGAAAGGTGGTTTAGTGCCAATTGCATCCCCTGAAGGCCATATCCAATTCAACGACATCCAATTTAGTTATCCTGCGCGCGATGACGTCCACATTTTCGAAAATTTTAAACTCGAAATATCTCCTGGAAAAATGGTTGCAGTTGTCGGGCCAAGTGGTTCCGGCAAAAGCACTCTAGCTGCACTTTTGTTACGACTTTATGATCCTGCAAAAGGACAAGTTTTATTAGACGGCCAGGATATTAAAGAAATTGATCCTAGCTGGTTACGACGACACGTTGGTACCGTTAGCCAGGAACCAGTTTTATTTTCGTGTTCGATTCGTGAAAATATTTTATACGGTGCTGATGATCCTTCTAAAGTGACAGAAGAGGCATTAGTCAAAGTCGCCAAAGAGGCCAACGTTTATGAATTTGTCCAACAACTACCTGACGGCTTTGATACTTTGGTAGGGGAACGTGGAGTGATGTTGAGCGGTGGACAGAAACAAAGAATTGCGATAGCTCGTGCTTTGATCAAAGATCCGAAGATTTTACTCCTAGATGAAGCCACAAGTGCGCTTGACGCCCAATCGGAGCATTTGGTGCAAGAAGCTTTGGAGAGGATCATGAAAGGGAGGACTGTTTTAACGATTGCTCATAGGTTATCGACGATACAAAATGCCGACACTATTGCCGTGTTACGCGATGGACATATTGTGGAGCAAGGGAAATACCAAGATTTACTTAATATCAAAAAGGGTGCTTTTAGGGAATTGATGAAACATCAAACGTTTCAAGGGAATATAGAAAAGACGTGATGTACTTAATTTATTTTATTTTTACACTCGTGAGGATTTGTTACACGTTTATTTGTTATGCAAATAAAATAGTTTTACTGTTGTTTGGTTTTTTATTGACAAAGGCCTTGTAAAAAATGTTTTGTAATTTAATCTTATGTATTGTATATTGTGGTCAAATGCAAATTGTCATCATTTTTTCATCTTCCTTTCATACTCTTCTTTCAAGGCACGTCTTAAAATTTTCCCGGTATTGTTTTTCGGGATACTTTCAACAATTTGAATCCCTCCTCTTAGCCGTTTATAAGGTGCCACTTTTTGTGCTACAAACTCCTCCAATTTATTCACGTCGATGTTTTTCCCTACAATATAAGCCCTAGGTACTTCTCCGTCCTTTGGATGCGGCACTCCAATCACTGCAGCGTCAGTAACATCGGGGAAGTCCCTTATAATTTCCTCCAATTCGGCCGGTGGTACTTGAAACCCTTTCACTTTAATCAACTCTTTCAATCTGTCGCTAACAAACAAGAGTTTGTGGTCATTGTAATACATCATATCGCCGGTACGGAACCAGCCATCTTTAGTAAAAGCATTTCGAGTTTCTTCGGGACGGTTATGGTACCCTTTCATCACCTGCGGGCCTTTAACCACCAACTCGCCGGTTATATTAGCTCCTAAGGGTGTTTCATGTGGGTCATTAGGGTCGATGATTTTGACCGATGTTTGGGAAACAGGCCGGCCAATTGTCCCACTCGAATTTGGGAGCTTTTTGAAGGCGGCGCGGGTCATTGCGACCATTGGGGAGGTTTCAGTAAGTCCATAACCTTGCAAAATGTTTATTTCTTTCTGGGCTTTTGTTATAAAGCGTTCTTCGTCGAGTGCACCCAAAGGAGCGGCTCCGGAAATCACAGATCGGATTGATTGAAGGTCACTTGAAGTTACAGAAGGGTGCGATGCCAGAAATAGTACTGAAAAATTTTAATTTCAAACGAATCAAAGTTCCTGATTGGGGTTACCAAGTGGAGGTGCCACGAATAGGACATCAGGCTTGTGTTTCCGCAATGTTTGCAAATAACCCTCTGGAGTGAATTTCGAAATGGCAACTGTTTTGCACCCTTTGTAAAATAAATGCAGAGTTGTTGCAGTCAAGCCGTAGATGTGAAATTTGGGCAAAACAGCCGGAATCACATCTTGATGGTCCCCTAAAAATCAGTTTTAATTGTTGTGTTTTTTAAGATTTAATTTTTACTAGTCGTATCTTCAATCACAGACAATTCCCTGGCGTTAAATTGACACAAGTTCGCTAAAATATTCCTATGGCTGAGTTGGACACCCTTGGGAAGCCCGGTGGTCCCACTAGAATATGGTAAAAATGCAATATCATTGGTGTCTGCTGGTGGCACATCTGGGTAATCACAATTTTCAATAAATTCGTCAAAGTTTAATGCACCTTGAGGAACTGATTGGCCTTGCTAAAATTGCATTAATAACACTTAATTCTACTTATTTGACCCGCAAAACCTGGGTTTTAATCGTTAAAATGTTGATCGGTGATTGGGTTAGGTTTGCTGATGCTTTTGCCAACTCGTAAAAATCCACAAATGTTATTATGGCTTTTGTTGAAGAGTCTTTCAACTGGCGGGAAATTTCATCTGAAATGTTATTTTTTCGTAAAAAAGAGCGGTGCCTGAAAGTTTCGAAGGTCGTTTATGTTGATAAAGTGAAGTTAAGAACAAAAAATTGTAATTCATATGAATTAAGACGTCACTGTATGTTACATGCGTATCTAACATTTGTTTTCAAGGCAAACAATTCTAATTGAAAACAGATTAGAAACTAGCAATTTCAAATTGTTAAAAAATAAATTGTCTCTAAAACAAGAAATTGCTGGACTTCGAAATGTAGTAAAACATGCAAAAGATTTGATAATTAATTCATTGTATTCATTTACTTTATCAAAAATATTCGGAAAACTCGGGCATTTTTGTTGGAAATTTCCAACAATGTTAATTTTAAAAGTACAATCATTAATTATTATCAATTTATTTTCGATAAAATTTATCGCTTTTAATGAATCAGATCATGTAGTTAGTAATCGCGGTAATAATTGTTATGACTTGGTTTAATTAAATGCAAAGCAATAAGATTTAGTAAATACACAATAAAATAAGGCAAAAAGCCTCAATATAAAAATGATGCATTCAGCTAGAAATAGCACTTCCGTTAAAGTATAAATTTTCCTTATTTTACATGAGTTTCGATAATAGTAATGTGTGGATAAGCGTATGTACATGACACAGTGATTGCTGTACATATACTTTATCTTGAATCTAATCCAAAACTATGTTTTATTGACTTAATTGAGTTTTCAAACATGTGTCAAGTCTGAAAGCCTTTGTTAACAAGTAAATCCATTAAACCAATGATTTTTTACAAAATAATTTAGAAAATGTTTACCGGGAGTGTAAATTGGGTTCAATGTAGTCACAATTAGGCCGGCTTTAAGTGCTCCACTCGTTGCAATAATAAATTCGGGCGAATTAGGCAATAAAATTGCAATAACATCTCCTTTTTCCAATTTGAGCTTTTTTCGCAAATTTCTATTTAAATTGATGCTTTTTCTTTGAATTTCTTCATAGGTGTATTTTCGGCCAGTGGCGGCACATTCCTGAAATAATTTTTTGTGTTCAGGATCGTGACGCAATAAAAAAATTAACTGCTATTATCCACTGATTGTTTCAAGCTCACTCACCGTGGCAATTCGCTGAGGCCAGTTGTGTGTTTTTGAGAATAAATACTGATCAATTGAAATGTTGGGTATTTCCACATCTTCTAGATCGGAATGCAGAATAAATTGTGACGACTGGTTTGAATATGATCGGCGAGAAGTGAGTGCTGCAGCGAGTTTCTTATTTATAGGTTTCACTCGCAAGATTTTACGTATCACAGACATGACAACCGACTTTAAACACTGCCACTGTGCTTCTCCACTAACGTAACGCGTTTGCGTTGCCCCTTCTCCAGGAGCTGACTTGTTAATGCATTACAAATGTTTATTGTTAAACCTGCTGATACGATTAAAGGTGAGGCAAACTGAGTCGGCAAAATCGTTTCACAATTTTTATTTACAAAGATAAAATTGTACAATTATCGCTTGTTTGATGCTTCAAACTCCAATTTAAGTTGCCTTCGCATTATTTTCCCAGACGCGTTTTTAGGGATGGAGTCAACGATCGCAATACCACCTTTCAAGTGCTTGTAATGCGCAACTTTGTTCTTAAAATATTCCTCCAAGTCTTTGGTGTTCACGTTAGTGTTTTTCTTTGGGACGATATAAGCCCTTGGGGCTTCTCCTTGCGTCGGATGTGAGACTCCAATAACAGCAGCGTCTTCAACATTTGGAAAATCACGAATGATTTCTTCTAATTCAGCCGGGGCCACTTGAAACCCTTTAACTTTGATCAATTCTTTCAAACGATCGGTAATAAAGAAGACTCGGTCTTCGTTATAATACGCCATGTCACCTGTCCTCAACCACCCATCAAGGAAAGTATTTTTCGTGTCCTCTGGTCTGTTGAGGTAACCTTTCATGACTTGAGGTCCTTTCACTAGTAACTCGCCCGTGGAGTTGGGACCGAGGGGAGTTCCTGTATGATCATCAATGCTGACAACTTTGACTGAAGTATTAGGAATAGGAAGTCCGATTGATCCATAGACGTTTTTCTCAGCTTTGAGTTGGACCGTAATTGCAGTAACAGTAGGTGAAGTTTCGGTCAGTCCGTAACCTTTAAATCGGGTTATTCAAGGTTAATTAAAATTGTGTGGGTTACCTTGTAACACACTGACACTTTTTCCTGCTTTTTCTACGAATCTTTGCTCATCTAAAGCACCAAGAGGGGCAGCGCCGGAAAAAGCGATTCGCACAGAATGCAAATCTTCGGATTTAACCATGGGATGTGCACTTAGAAACAGTACTACAAGAAAATCATCACACTTGACTCTGTTTTAACTTACCTATTGGAGGGACTATGAACAGAATATGTGGTTTGTGATTCCTCAATACTGAGACGAAATCATCAGGGGTAAATCTGGGCAAAGTTACCAACTTTGTCCCTTTTGAAAGCATAAACAACGTGTTAACTGAAAACCCATAGATGTGGAACATTGGTAACACCACTGGGATAACATCCTGATGGGTACTTGTAGTTTCCTCGATTATTGGGAGATGAGGTGATGAGTTTTGGCAAATGTTAGCCACGATGTTGTAATTGGTCAATTCGACTCCTTTTGGTAACCCTGTAGTGCCACTAGAATATGGCAAAAAGGCCACGTCTTGAGCATTTCGTGGCTGAATTTCCGGATAATCAATGGAGTTATCGGTGAATTCTCGAAAATCGATGGCTCCACGAGGAAAAGATTGAGTTTGCTGTTAAAAATAAAGTCATTTGTCATTATTATTATATTACTGTTATCTTGTGGTCAAAGTACATGATGACAAGTTTTTTTGTCTGATTACTTACCGATGATTTTATTGACAAAATAGGCAATGCTTTGTTGAGCAATTTGCTCGAATTGGATGCCACTTCGTATAAATCAATAAGAGTTATTATTGCTTTAGCTGATGAATCCGTAAGTTGGCGCGATATCTCCTCTAGAAATACAAGTAATTAGAAGTAAAAATTTATTGTTGATAACGACGTGATAATTAAGTGATTATTAGCATTTAAATTTTCCAGATGGCAACAACTACGTCTTACCACTGGTGTAAATAGGATTTAGGGTTGTAACAACCAACCCTGCATGTAATACCCCCAAAGCCGCGATTGGGAATTCAGGGACATTTGGTAAAAGCAAAGCTACCACGTCTCCTTCTTTCAAGTTAAGTTTTTTTCTCAGTGCTTTAGCTAAATTTTTTGATTTTCTCAAAATATCTCTGTAAGTGTACTTGCGTCCTGTAATTCCACATTCCTGAAAGTTATTTCTGTTTATTATTTGATTACCATTATCTGTTTGTCAATGACGAAGTAAATAAATATTTGGCAAAGCTCGTATTGGAAACAGTACTTACCGCTGCAATTAAATTTTCGTACTTTTCGCATTTTGAATAAATGAACTCGGGGATTGATATTTGTGGGATGGAAACATCCGGAAAACTAGAATCGATGATGTTTGAACTTGTTGATAATTTTTTAACCACATTTAAACCAATTAATGGCTTTACACTTTTTGAGAACCTAGCAGATAATATAGTCCGAATGACTGACATATTTTACGGTTGAGATACTTTGAATGGAAATGATATGAGATTCCACGCTTCTTTTTATATTACTGTGGAATAGGAGGGGGCTATCTCGGATTAAAAGACCAATATCAGTAGATTTTTTAACGTTTTATTGCTTGCATTTACATTTACCTTAAAAGTTAATCGTTATATTTACACTCATTTTATATAACAATGGATTTGTTTACTATTTTACTTCAATGTTTATCTTTCTACATAGTTTGTAGTTACATACGTATTGATAACATTTAAGTACTTATTTTTATGTATAAAAAAAGGGTTTCCAAAAATAAACCTGATTACTTATTTTTTTGTATACCTACATTTTTATATGTATTTCAGACAATTAAAAACACTTGGTCAATCAATTCAAGAAACTTGAAGATTTTTCGAAAATTTCAAAATTGCAAACTTTTTAAATCTTTCATGATTTAAACCGAAAATGTGCAACAGTAATTTAATAAACAAGTAAATTAGTTGCTCATGAATACAAGAGTTTATTACAATATTTTTGTGTCGATTGGACCTTTGGTTTAAAAAAAACTAATTTTGTAAATTGTAAATATTGAACTGCCAAATATAAAACTTTCTAAAATGTATATTTGGTTGTCTAATCGTAAATTCATATGTAGAAGGTAACCGGTAATTACAGATTCATTAATAAAGGTCAATCTGAAAATTTATTTAATGTATTATTTCAGCCTTTTAGGATTTCGAATGGAGACATTTTTTATTACTGTTTTGAACTCGGTTTTGAATTTTTGTAAACTTCTGGAGAATTTTGGTGAAACGCAGTTGGCAAACCACATAACCTAACTTCATAAAAAATGTTTTTATTTTCTGGTGCGATATTTTAGCTAATTTATAAAATTATGGAAAAATCTGTGTACGCGTTAACTGAGCACGAGGTTTTTACCCGTGAGTTTCTCTTTTTATACAAGCAAAATCCAATATTATGGCAGCAGAAACACCCCCAGTATAGAAATCGGGCCTTGCGGTCTGAGGCCTACGCCACTATTGTGAAAAAATGCCAGGAGTTTTACACTGAAGCTGACGAAGATTTCGTCAGAATGAAAATTGACTCAATGCGGTCCACATTTCGCAAAGAACGTAAAAAAGTGTTGCAATCAAAAGAAACCGCGACCAAGCCTGAAGACGTCTACAAACCGTCTTTGTGGTACTATGATCTGCTGTTGTTCACTGCTGGGGAGGACGCCGAAAGCGAGTCAATGAATGATCTCAAAGCTGAGGAAGTTTTGTCGGCGGGAAGTAATCCTGAAGACGGCAATTCTGTGGTAGTTTAATCAGATAAAAATAGTTAAAATGCTATTTGTTGGTCTTGATTACAGAAAATTCCGTTCTGGAGTAGAGAATACTCAGCTATTTTAATTAATTTTTACAAAAGTTACCCATGTTTGTACTCCATGTTACATCCACATTACAAAAATAAGAAAAAAAGAGAAGACGCTGTTAAAAAAATTACAGAAAAGTTAATGGAAGCCACGGGGAAGTATTTCCATTCAAGTGACGTGCGTAGGAAAATTTCCTTAATTCGAGGTCAGTTTTTATACGAGTACAAAAAAATTAAAAATAGTGAGAGCAAAGGAGACAATTATAAACCAAGTTTATGGTGTTTTGATATGTTGAGTTTTCTCCATGAAGAGTACGCAAATAAGAATAAAATCGCTGTTAAGAAAACAGAAAGACGCATGAACTTGGTAATAAATTTAATTTCCAGTAGTTATGTTTTAATTTTGATTTCTAGCGGCCTAAAATCAAACGGAAAAATATTTCTTCTGAAGACTCAGACGAGGACATGGTACTTTGATCAAATTATTAACTTCCTAGAAGCTTTTTTGTTTTTCTTTTAGAATATTAAAAAAGAATCAGATTCATCTCTATCTTCTGAAAGTATTCACCCTGAAATTAAAGAAACAGATGACGAGGACCTTTTTGACACAACTGGTAAAAGTTTGGCTCGCATTTTGCGAGAAATGACCGACGAGCAACGAACTTTCGCAAATAAGATTATCAGAGAAGTCATGTACCATGGCCAAATGGAACATTTAACATCCAGTTCAAGGTTCAGTTTAGATGGCAGTTAAATAAAACATCAGGTACTCTCATTTATTGCAATCACAATTTTCTCAGTTCACTTCTAAGTACTTTCCCTGCACAATTCCTGGGGATTTTCTTCAAAACAACCACTCCTCCTACAAGTCGTTTGTAATTCGCGACTTTCCCGGCCACGAATTCTCTTAAATGTTCTGGTTTCACTTCTTGTCTTAAAACCACAAAAGCTTTCGGGGCTTCCCCTTGAACCGGATGGGGGATTCCCACAACAGCGGCGTCTTCAACACTCGGGTGACTTTTCAGAATTTCCTCAATCTCGGCTGGAGCTACTTGAAACCCTTTCACTTTAATCAATTCTTTTAATCTGTCAGTGATGAAAAAATGTTGGTCTTCGTCGTAGTAGCTGACGTCACCGGTCCGCAACCAATTATTTTGGATGGTTTTTTTCGTTGCTGTTGGATTGTTGTGATAGCCTTTCATGTTTTGGGGTCCTTTTACTACCAACTCTCCCGACTGATTTGGCCCTAAAGCAGTTGAATCATCAGTGAGTGAAATAATTTTAGCTTCAGTGTTTGGTATCACAAATCCACTGCCCCCGATTTTCGTCCCGTTTTTTAATTTTGTGGTTTGCATGAGTGTCAAAGGCGACGTTTCGGTCATTCCATACATTTGTATCAAATTGATTTGATTTTTACATTTTTTATTAAATTCGTCGACTGCTAATGCTCCCAAAGGGGCCGCAGCCGAAATAATCGTCCTGATACTTTTTAAATTGTCGTATTTTATTTTAGGGTTATTCAAGATAGTAACAACTGAAAGAAATATTGATAAAGGTCTTGATACCGAAAAAATTCTTCTTACTCATTTGAGGGACGGCAAATAGTAATGTTGGTTGGTACAACTGCAAAATTTTGATAAATTGAGGCCCTACGAATGTTGGCACCATTATCAATTTGCAACCTTTGGCAAAAAAGTTGAGGAAAATTCCTACCATTCCATATATATGGAAAAGAGGAAGGAAAACAGGGATAACATCCTGGAAATTACCTAAAACTGGAGTTAGAACCAAAACTATGTTTTTCACGCACTTTTAGTCTCCAAATTGACCAGGAAATCAGGCGACGACATTTGGTATAAATTTGAAACCACATTTTTGTGAGTAAGTTGCACACCTTTAGACAGACCTGTAGTCCCACTGGAGTAGGGCAAAAGGGCAACATCATCGGGGTTTAAAAAATCAGATATACTACTATTTCTAATATCACACAATTTGCTTAATTTAATACAGTCAACTGGCATACTGTCGCTCTGTAAAATGAAACAATGAAAAAATTAAAAAAAAAATTGTTAGTTTTTAGTACAGGTTTAATTTCTGCCAAGACAGTAGGAATCTTCCTTCCAAGTATTTTTGTGCATTTATTTATTACTGGCATGAGTTCTCTTATTGTGAAAATTAGTTTTGAATCTGAGTCGGCGAGTTGGACAGCCATTTCATCTATAACTTTTTATTAATTTTATTCAATATTAATTTTTTTTGTTAACCTGGGGTGTAGTAAGGGTTCACTGTGGTAACCACAAGTCCCGCTTGAATGGTTCCTAAAAAAACGATAGGAAAATCTGGGACATTTGGTAATACAACAGCAACAATATCTCCTCTGTTTAGTTGGAACTTATTATGCAAAACTCCTGCTAAAGCTAAGCTTTTGTTGTAAATTTCTCCAAAAGTGTACGATTTTGTAGTATTAAAACAGATCTGAACGAATTTGCAAATTACAATGTTTTTATACCAGTAAAACTTACCACAGCCGTTTTATCATACCATTTATCTAAATGCTCCCACACATATTCATGAATTAATTGATTAGGGATAAGAATATCAGTCGATTTTGATTTTATTATATTCTTTTCGTTTAATTTTGTCAGTGTTGTAAATGCACTTTTATATCGACACATTTTATAAATTTTGCAGGTTGCACGTCTGATGTACATTTTCAGTGTTTTCATAAAGCTGTGCAAGAAATATTTATTTTAATTTTAACATTGTGGTAAACTTAAAATTATTGCAAAAAAATACAAAAACATAACCTTATTTGAGTTATGCAATACAAAAAAAAAACGAATGCCATTTGTTAGAACTGTCATTAGTTAGAATTCCAGAAATTGCATTTTATGCAACTATTTTCAGTTGCACAAAATGCTCATTGTGACACCGAAATAGAAAAATTATTATTTTTCACAATTTTAAAAATCAGTGTTAAATTTTTAAATCCATCGATGCGTCTTCAGATAAGAAATTATTGTTACCATTGCGCCAAAACGCTAACTTTATAGATAAAGCGGTTATTTGTAAAATAAAACTAAAATGCTGCCATTTACTTTGCTTTAGTTGGAAAGAGAGGGGTAGATCTCACTCTAAGGACCATCTTAAAGCTTTTAAAGTTTTCTTGAAAATCGGTGAAACATTTTGGTAGAATTACCAATGAAAAACATGATAAATTGGTGTCCTTGTGTGTGTGTATTTAGAATTAGAATGAATTCCGTACTTTTGAAAGTGAGTAATTTTAAAATAACTTCAGTACAGTCAGTGCTTGGCAAAAGAGATACATAAATGTTGATGCAGCTATTTTTATAAATTGTAAATTAATCATTTTTAATCTATTATCTTGTACAGAAGCTGATTATTGTGTCACATTTATGTGTAAAAAGCAACATAAGTTGTATAACCAAAGAGTAACGATTGTTCTAAATATTTTCTACCTATGTTGGAATGCATTCGTAAACCATCAAAATGCCTGTTTATGTATTGATCGAAATTTTTTAATCCCATACTCTTAGCTGTGACTTGTGAATCAAAGAATAAAAAAAGCATTTTGGAAACTTTTAACAAATTGGTTCAATAGACGTTTAGTTCTATTTAACTATTTTATTTGAGTAGTCTTAGTGGCTTTTTTTATAATAATGGGTAAGAAAAATTTGCTATTTGAACTAGTTTCGTAATTTTTGGTTGGTCACATCGAATCTAAGCTGGTGGTCACCGGCCAATCAAATTGTTCTGAAACCCTCCCCTGTTTCACAACATTGCACGTTGTTGTGGTGTGAAACGGTTGTTTCCAATGTGTTTACACCGGGGAATACCAATTAAAAATTGCCAAATGTCGCCTGCTTATTTATAATTGGTCATCATGGGCGTGTTATTTCCATAAATCTATCCATCCCCGCTTCTCCTTTCTCTTCTACGCCAATGGTCGCCCACCCTACTCCCCCACTCTTCCTAAAAACATCTGCAACAAAAGCATCGCACACCAACACAACCAAGTTTTCTGACGTTTGACAGTTGTGCCGGTTGTGTTTGTGAAATTCGTAGTGTTTGTCTCTTATTTGTGAAACGAAAATTTTATAATTAAAAAAAAAATAAGTGTTGATCATGGATAACAAAGAACTGACTCTGGAAGGCGTAAAAGACGCTCTTCGCGAGAGCCAGTCCCAGCCAGTTGGGGGCCTTCGTCGCGAAATGGACTCCTTGGACGACTTTGAGCACCTGGGGCACGACAGTTCGCCTCTGAAAGACGGCGGCGATTTGTTGTCTGCACGTGACCAACCCGGTGTGATCAATAAAGGGGATGACAAAGCCGCCACTGCAGCCAACCCCACAATTCCCCAAGACCTGTCATCGTTCGATCCTTTCCACAGCGAGCGAAAAATGGATTCGAACCTCCTCGAAATGGGCGACAATTTCCCCGACCGAAAGGAAGCCGACGCCAAGCTTGACAAATTCCTGCAGGACTTGGGGCCGATGGCGCCCCCGAAGCACGAAGAGCCCCCGGAAATCGCAAACAAGGACGACAAGAGTGCCACGCAGCATTTCATGGACTTGGAGCGCGAGGTGAGTCAACCGAAGAAATTGGACTCGCACGACCTCTTGGAGAAGTACTCAGACAGCGAGCCAGACAATGATGACGATTTTAAGCCTTCCAAGTATCAGGACTTCCCTAAAAAGGCCGAACTGCCGGAATCGATATCGAGTGATTTTAAGACCGACACCTTCAAGGATTTGGAGGAAGTTGAACCGCAGCTCCCCAAAAAAGATTATCCTTCCGTTCCGGAACCGGAAAAGGTCACACCTATTCCAACAAGAGAAGAAAAACCAGCTCCGGTTAAAGAAAAGACTCCCGAACCGGTGAAAAAACTACCGGAACCGGCTGAAGTCATCTGCAGGAAACCGGAGCTTGACGAAAAGAAGAAACAGGCGGTTATTGACGCCGAGGCCATTTTCTGCAAAATGGGACTAGGTAAGTGGGTTTTTTACCATTCCAAATGAGGGCAAGTTACCCTCGTTGAATAAAAGGGGTAACCCGAGTATAACAGATGTTACCAATCGTTAAGTACAAGATGATGATTCATCATTGCACATGGAATTCCGGTATTATGACGCATGTGTAATGGTCAAAACGAAATAGTTTATTACTATTGCAAAAATATTTTTTATTATTTTGTGTTTCTACTATATTCTGTTCTTTTAATTGAATTAAAAAAAAGACATTTTGTCAAAAAACTCATTTTTAGTGATGGTGGATGCAGTTATGTAATGATTACTATATTAATTAAAAGGTGGCAAGTTTTTCCGTGAGCTGACGTCACATGCAACCATGCAAATATTTATCGAACCGTGTTGTATTTTACTTGGAACAAGTGTATACATTTGGGTTATTATGGCAATTTTATATCTCAGCTGTGCCATCTTCCTAAAACTTCGATCGTTTAAAAATAACTTTTGTACCGTTTGAATTCTCATGGAAAAAAATAACCAAAGTCGTTATCCCTTATTGTTGTTACAGAGAAGAATTATTAATTATTTAGTATTGGCGGACGCAAGGTGATAATATTAAACGACTAGTCACGAATTCATTAAACGAAATGAATCATGGTTTATTTTTGAAAATTTGTAATGAGGAATGAGGATTTTTTTGCTCGGTTAAGTACCTCGATGGGTTTCGAACCGTGTCTAATTTAAAACAGTGACTTTTTGTCCGTTAGAAACCGAATCGTGAAGAAATTAATACTGTTCGATGGCTTGTTGGTGTAGTTAAGTAGGAGTGTGATTCAAATAGGTGTTGATAAGGAGCTAAATGCGTTGTTAACAATTCATGTGATTTTTTTTTTAGTTTTGCATAGTACATATACAAGTTGCAAATGTGGCCTTGGTGGGATATATGCATGCATTTTGTAGCGATGAATCATTAATTATTTAGGTGGTAATATAATAAAAAAACAGAACTGCCTTTTAGTGACAATTTTGTCAATATCTATCATCACCTTGTTTCATTTCGTTGAAACTGGGGTGGACTTTACAAGACTTCATTTTGACTAAATCAAACTTTGACTCTTAGTAATATGAGAACCAAATCACCATGTCCGTATGGGATAAATTTTAGGCTTTTTTATTTTTCTCGTGGTGAAAATCAACAGAAGAGCGAAAATGCGCAAGATTTTTTTTTATAATTCTTATTTAACGTTTGAAGTAATTAAAAAGTAAAGTAATCAAAATACATATTTACCTTTGCATAAAATTTTGAAAATCTAATGAATTCTTTTGACTGGTGGTTTTTTATTTACATATTAATTCATACATTTAAATCACAATTTCATTTTTGTACAAGAGGTCACCCTACAACAAGGGATTTTTTTTTCTTAATATGTATACAGGATGCGCCAGAACTCGCGCCCCAGAGAAAATTTTCAAGTAAGGTAAGATACCAGGAACATGAAAAAAATGTTTAAAAAATTCTATCTATTTATTTTTTGACATTTGACTTTTTTATGTCTATTTAATGATACTGATAATCTTGTATATGTTTTTTACAATTATTTAGTAAAGGTACAAAAATGTTGTCAATAAAAGCCACAAATAACATTGAACAGAGTTACAATTTAGGATATAGCTTTCTTGTTTCCTCTGTTAATAGCCTATAGCAAAAAAAACTTGAAAAATTATATTTCCAACAGAAATAAATAGAGTCAAAATGCAAACTTTAAACCCTCATAACTTCGAAATTTTTATAGATAAATTTTTTTTAAC